TCGGCACGGAGTAACCGAAATCGAGGTCGTCTGGTTGCGTGTAATCCGTAAGCTTGATCGAAAAATTGAGAACTTTTCCAGTTTTAGTCTTTGACTCTTCAATAGGTGACAATGAAAGAGTTTAGATCGATATATAATGCACATGTATTTCAGTGTGGCTTTCTTCTTCTTCGCACAAAGCTGCATTGATGAAAGTTTCCTTATGCATTCCCGCGATCCAATTTGAATCAGTTATTAATCCAAACGAGAGTAAAGAACACGGTTGGTGATTAGTTCAGGTGGATGAGGCACAAAGCTGATTCGAAAGCCAAATAACAAGCCTGAGAGTATATGGAGGTTTAAAGCCCGAGCAGCAGCATTCTTTTCCACTGGCATAATATTGTGAATCTGATTCCGATATTCACAAACATACTTCCCGTATAAAAACAAAAGTAAAGTATTCATTTTAGACAGATATTGATAATAAATATGGTAGCACTATTTATCCAAGCCCCAAATTCCCAAAAGTGAGCGGTCGTTCTCATCAAAAACATTTACGTTTTCGGTTATCCATTACGACGCAATAATTGATTTAATAGTCGAAGTCAAGTGTTGAAATCGATTTAACGGGAAAAACAATTGTTTCTTAACATTGTTAGGTAAACTTCAAACTGATTGTGTCACTTCAGCTTATACGAGCGAAAAGCAAATCACTGTTTCCATTCCATTTAGTTTTGTTGTGATTTTATGATGAGCTGAATTATCAGCCTAAAATTGCGCAACTACTCGTAATTTCGGGTACTCTATCATTGTATAATGCCCACATTAAAATCGTACCCATAGGTTTCTAATCACCATAGATCTTTATTCAATTTGACTGGAAAATACAAAATGCCTGGACGTGGTACAGCACTATTTCCATCCTCACCAGATTCCGATTCATCTGAAGCATATTTTAGTAGGGTTTAATGAATTAAAATGATCGATATGTTCGTTTTGCGGAACCTGGGGTTGTCGTTCATTTTTTGGAGTGCATTGGTCTATGGAGGCGGAACGTTAGGATGAAGTGAAAAGAACTATTAAAGGTGCCCTATTGATTAGAAACAACAGTAGTATTACAGTTTGAACAACCTTTTTGGTCGCTCACCCAATAGCACAAAGCTGATGTGAGAATAAAAGCGCCACACGTGTGGTCTATGCCTGTTCATTTAGACGATGTGGCAGGTGTTACACATCGTATTCATTCAGGGATTTCAATTCCGTCGTATGCGTTTCTCAAAATCTCAAATGCAACGTCTAAGCGCTAAATCGTTTCTTCAATCCCTGATCAAAATTTATCTAAGGCTGCATTTTACATTATAGAAAACAATAAATGCAAATTCAACTTAGCTTTTGAATAGGACACATTGCAGGTATTTTCACATCTTATTTCGTTGATCACTGCGTCCTCAACTACGACGGAAACAATTATACTCATTGCGTATTACAAAGATAGGCTATACCCGTTCAATGGTTTACCGCCCCACTCACAGTTGTCTATTTGATGTGAGAGACAGATCACGTGATGGCGAGTGGCTTACAGAACAATCTGATTAATGTAGAAGCTTTGTCTTAAGAAATGTTTGTTGATTTTTCAACCTTCAATCTTCACTGATAATTCACACTAGTCATGAGCAATTAGACACGAGCAATTTCACTCACGGTGTCTAATACAAAAGCAAAATATATGCTATTGCCGATGCGTGCGCTAAGGCAAAGTGTCAATCAAACCGGATCAGGTTTCCAAAATTAAATTTGCCAAAACGTGGACATCAGATTACACATCCAGTTAAAGACTTCACTCGTGCAAATTACTGTACTGTTGTTC